ATAGGACTGAGAGTTAGGCTATGGCGTTAGGCTTCAATGGGTTGTACCTGATGGCAGTGTGTGACAAAAACCGTCTACCTATTTCCTGATTCTAATTCTCAGCACCAATTTCTAACCCTAGGTGGATAACATCCGGACAGGTAGAAATAATTTATCTGTCCCTTATTGGCTTGGGTCGTAAAATTTGAGTTTCCTTTATAAGTTTCATGAATGTCTGAAAAATTCTAATACTTGCAAAGCCGAAACACTTCATTTATCTAAATGCCAATAATCCCCTTCATCAGCAACTATATCGGTTAAAATGAATGTTGCTTCAGCTGACGGTCAATAGAATTAGCACTGTTTTCGCCCAAATTGATATGATTTTATGGTTGAAATTACTAGGAATTTAAAAATCTTATTTCAACCTACCGTTTTCTTTTGTCGAATTCAAATTAAGAGAAATTTTCCTGCGATGGTTTTCGGATGCATGACATTTATCAACATCCTGTTCTTTTCTGTCGGTCATCCGACAGACTGTGAATACACGCGACTATTGTAATCGTAAAGGCCAAAATGAGAAATCCGCAATGACGCAGCGTCTTGTCCTTGAGACAGTGGCAAAAATCGAAATAATATTATTCTTAACCTAGCTTTTCAAGGCCAATGTTTTCGGCCGCCGTGTCCGCCACACGCAGATGAAATTAGATTATTGGTGTTTGATTTCATTATATTTAACCGTCCAATCGTTATTAGCAACTAGCATTAGGAACGACCTTGAACATAATGCTCAGTAATAACATAGGCATTGCTTTCTTTTTAGCAGACATTCAAGTTAACTGCATTTTTATGAAGTTAGGAGATTGTCTGGAAATAAGTGAATACAGTATATCATGGTTTTTAAATCTAAGAAGCATCCAAATATTTAAGATACCGAATCACAAACAGTCTGACTCAATCTAAACCAGTGACATCGAGATAATAATTGACCGATTCACAGCACTTATTGCTAGGAATTTGCAGTCCACGATTCCATCGGAATATTTTGAAAAGAATACAACCACAATTCATCTGGTGAATCTTCAATTTCAGTCACAAATAGTATTTATTTTATTGATGAATCTGAACTTTTCATGAATAACATAATCCTATTTTAATTAGCTGAAAAATAGGTGAATTTTTAATCTGACTGAGAGATTTATAAGCGCCTAATTAGTCTGAACTGCATCATTCTTATCAAAAACTCCAGATCACATTTAGATAACGAATGAATAAATTCTAAAAAAAAAACAGCTAAAAACCAAATGGATTTTCGCTTCGTTGCAGTTTCCACAGTTTACCAATGTCATTATTTCGTAAAATGGAATCCAATTACTGATAATTCGTCTATATCGACCCAGATTTTTAATTGGACCGTTGAGGTTCATATCGTATACACAGAGTTTTGTAAATCATACAGTTAAATTAATTAGTGAAATAATTAAATTATTCAAAGTTATCCATTTATATAAGTATGAAGGTAATTTAGATTACCGATTGTTCATGACATTACAATTCAACCTGATTTGGACAGTCGTTCAAAATCCGAAAGCACTAAATAGCTGTTCCATTCTGCAGCATGTTTCTGAAGTAGTGTATGTTCACAACCCAACCGTTGGTATTGAATTGAAGACTGATCTCTGACAGACAGGGGAGGCTACCGAGATCTGTGTCTGATAGATGTTCATGATACGATTGTCACTACTACCTTGGTCAGTGGGAATCTACCAGACAATTTCACTGATTCTTTCTGTTCTCAGCTCAACTACTCGAACAAAAAGCTGATTATTCATGTACTTTTTACTACGTGATTCTTATTCATAATAGTTTTATTGAATTTATTTTTTCAATATTTTGACCTACTTCCAAACACAAAATCTTTGCTCACATTTTCATGCCATCAATTATTCTAAAAATTACTATTTAACTTATAACCACCGATGTGTACTTTTTACTTGTTTCGACTAGTAGCTTGTGTGCACAACCAAACCAACCAGCTCAGAGAACCACACTGCACCATATTCTTCAACCTGTTTCTTGACAAATTGGTAAGTATCAAGAATATTAACCTCTTGAACAAACAGTATTATTTCAGAGCGTAATAATTTCCCAATATCTTTTAAATGCATCTTCATGCTTGTTCGGTGAGAGTGCGTAGTTGACCTTGAGAAAGTCCACACAATGCTCATCTTACTTGCTTAACTGTTAGTCGATTTAATTGCTTGATGATTATTCACACACATGACTAACGATTTGCTTGTTATTCGATGACTGACAGTTTGTCTCTCATTCCAGTCTTCTGATCTATTGATTAGTGATGAGAAAAAATAACATCTTGTGACAACTTCGTTTCAGCTTTTGGAAATCACACACAGTTAGGATTCATGTTAATTAGAATTGTCAGGCTGATTATTGTTCGGAGCCTAGAAATAGTATTGAAGACACTTCACAACAAATGAGACTTATTGTTTGAAAAACAAAGCTATTCAAAAGTGAACTTCTGAGCAAGTGCAGTATAGGGTGAAATTTAGACAAGTGTGACAAATTTCCCTCTGGTTTCTAGCTAATCAGAAAATGTCTTTCCAGAATGGATAGTTGATGATAAAGTAAACAACATACTTTGTAGTGCAGCTTAATAATAATCATGTTAATAGTTGATAAATCTAACAATGGTATCAATAGGTTACTGTGCTGGTAAATAGAAACAATGAACAACATGAGATGGTGGAGAAAACTTGTAGCTCAGGTGGATGATTGTGGTGGTGTTTCGTTCTCTGAGCTGGTTGTTTTGGTCAGCTCAGAGAACGAAACACCACCACAATCATCCACCTGAGCTACAAGTTTTCTCCACCATCTCAATGTTGTTCATTGTTTCTATTTACCAGCACAGTAACCTATTGATACCATTGTTAGATTTATCAACTATTAACATGATTATTATTAAGCTGCACTACAAAGTATGTTGTTTACTTTATCATCAACTATCCATTCTGGAAAGACATTTTCTGATTAGCTAGAAACCAGAGGGAAATTTGTCACACTTGTCTAAATTTCACCCTATACTGCACTTGCTCAGAAGTTCACTTTTGAATAGCTTTGTTTTTCAAACAATAAGTCTCATTTGTTGTGAAGTGTCTTCAATACTATTTCTAGGCTCCGAACAATAATCAGCCTGACAATTCTAATTAACATGAATCCTAACTGTGTGTGATTTCCAAAAGCTGAAACGAAGTTGTCACAAGATGTTATTTTTTCTCATCACTAATCAATAGATCAGAAGACTGGAATGAGAGACAAACTGTCAGTCATCGAATAACAAGCAAATCGTTAGTCATGTGTGTGAATAATCATCAAGCAATTAAATCGACTAACAGTTAAGCAAGTAAGATGAGCATTGTGTGGACTTTCTCAAGGTCAACTACGCACTCTCACCGAACAAGCATGAAGATGCATTTAAAAGATATTGGGAAATTATTACGCTCTGAAATAATACTGTTTGTTCAAGAGGTTAATATTCTTGATACTTACCAATTTGTCAAGAAACAGGTTGAAGAATATGGTGCAGTGTGGTTCTCTGAGCTGGTTGGTTTGGTTGTGCACACAAGCTACTAGTCGAAACAAGTAAAAAGTACACATCGGTGGTTATAAGTTAAATAGTAATTTTTAGAATAATTGATGGCATGAAAATGTGAGCAAAGATTTTTGTGTTTGGAAGTAGGTCAAAATATTGAAAAAATAAATTCAATAAAACTATTATGAATAAGAATCACGTAGTAAAAAGTACATGAATAATCAGCTTTTTGTTCGAGTAGTTGAGCTGAGAACAGAAAGAATCAGTGAAATTGTCTGGTAGATTCCCACTGACCAAGGTAGTAGTGACAATTCGTATCATGAACATCTATCAGACACAGATCTCGGTAGCCTCCCCTGTCTGTCAGAGATCAGTCTTCAATTCAATACCAACGGTTGGGTTGTGAACATACACTACTTCAGAAACATGCTGCAGAATGGAACAGCTATTTAGTGCTTTCGGATTTTGAACGACTGTCCAAATCAGGTTGAATTGTAATGTCATGAACAATCGGTAATCTAAATTACCTTCATACTTATATAAATGGATAACTTTGAATAATTTAATTATTTCACTAATTAATTTAACTGTATGATTTACAAAACTCTGTGTATACGATATGAACCTCAACGGTCCAATTAAAAATCTGGGTCGATATAGACGAATTATCAGTAATTGGATTCCATTTTACGAAATAATGACATTGGTAAACTGTGGAAACTGCAACGAAGCGAAAATCCATTTGGTTTTTAGCTGTTTTTTTTTTAGAATTTATTCATTCGTTATCTAAATGTGATCTGGAGTTTTTGATAAGAATGATGCAGTTCAGACTAATTAGGCGCTTATAAATCTCTCAGTCAGATTAAAAATTCACCTATTTTTCAGCTAATTAAAATAGGATTATGTTATTCATGAAAAGTTCAGATTCATCAATAAAATAAATACTATTTGTGACTGAAATTGAAGATTCACCAGATGAATTGTGGTTGTATTCTTTTCAAAATATTCCGATGGAATACGTGGACTGCAAATTCCTAGCAATAAGTGCTGTGAATCGGTCATTATTATCTCGATGTCACTGGTTTAGATTGAGTCAGACTGTTTGTGATTCGGTATCTTAAATATTTGGATGCTTCTTAGATTTAAAACCATGATATACTGTATTCACTTATTTCCAGACAATCTCCTAAATTCATAAAAATGCAGTTAACTTGAATGTCTGCTAAAAAGAAAGCAATGCCTATGTTATTACTGGGCATTATGTTCAAGGTCGTTCCTAATGCTAGTTGCTAATAACGATTGGACGGTTAAATATAATGAAATCAAACACCAATAAACTAATTTCATCTGCGTGGGCGGACACGGCGGCCGAAACATTGGCCTTGAAAAGCTAGGTTAAAATAATATTATTTCGATTTTTGCCACTGTCTCAAGGACAAGACGCTGCGTCATTGCGGATTTCTCATTTTGGCCTTTACGATTACAATAGTCGCGTGTATTCACAGTCTGTCGGATGACCGACAGAAAAGAACAGGATGTTGATAAATGTCATGCATCCGAAAACCATCGCAGGAAAATTTCTCTTAATTTGAATTCGACAAAAGAAACGGTAGGTTGAAATAAGATTTTTTAAATTCCTAGTAATTTCAACCATAAAATCATATCAATTTGGGCGAAACAGTGCTAATTCTATTGACGTCAGCTGAAGCAACATTCATTTTAACCGATATAGTTGCTGATGAAGGGGATTATTGGCATTTAGATAAATGAAGTGTTTCGGCTTTGCAAGTATTAGAATTTTTCAGACATTCATGAAACTTATAAAGGAAACTCAAATTTTACGACCCAAGCCAATAAGGGACAGATAAATTATTTCTACCTGTCCGGATGTTTATCCACCTAGGGGTTAGAAATTGGTGCTGAGAATTAGAATCAGGAAATAGGTAGACGGTTTTTGTCACACACTGCCATCAGGTACAACCCATTGAAGCCTAACGCCATAGCCTAACTCTCAGTCCTATCATTATAACTCATTTGTGTACACTTAGTGTCTCCGGATTGGTTAGACAGCTGACCTGCAGGTCGTCAGGTGTTATATTTTGATATTTCAGCTTATTCAGTTGATCTAGTCAAGCTAACAATGACATGAACTTGTGTTCTGTGAATTCCGTTCACTTAATGTATGGATTAGAAGGAAATTGGTCTCTTGTTGGCACTTTGTAGTAGCATAAGCGAAATAAGTATCCTGTAGAGAGATTATATGTCTGAATGTTGTAAATAAATAGGTCGTTTCTGATCGATGCATATTCTTACTTTAACTTTGTAGTTTATGATTCCGCTCCAAGATGGAACGGAAAACAGCGGTGAGGTAATCCTGGTGAACCACAAAACAACTGAGCGGGGTGGATGGAATGGGAAGTTGGAATTCATGATGGCATGTGTGGGTTTTGCAGTCGGTTTGGGCAATGTTTGGCGTTTTCCATATTTATGTTTTAAAAATGGTGGAGGTCAGTAATATTTACTTGATTTATCAATTATTTATACTCATTTTTTGCATATGCTTTTTGAAAAATTTAAATACTGTTTAGTGATAGTAAATTCTAAAGTTGATATATGAAAACCGAATTGCTTTTAAAATTTGTATGTCAATATGTATGGTGATCATTGAAGTCAATATGTTGTGTGGGTTAAGTATTCAGATGTACATCAAACTTAGCAACATACGTTTCCTATGCAATAACATCAGCTAATCAGTTTAAGCTTGATTATATGGCGAAATCGCCTAAGGGAAAGAACTATACTTGTTTAGAACAAAATAATCAATAAACAGGTTTCTGAGTATTGAATATTATTGAGATCGCGAACCTCTTTAGTTTTAACAAACCTGATGGCACTGGACGAGGTTTTCGCCCCCGTATAAAATTACTCGATGTTGGTATTTACCATCCCACTACTAGTAATTGATCGCAAAATCTTCAGCCCTGTGAGGCGATGTGCAAGTCTATCCTCTATACTGCATATTCAGCTGTTATGGAGAATGTTGAGTTTAGTTATGTATTGACCTTGATTCGAAAACCGATGGAAACCAAAACACACTAAATGATTGTTTCAATATATTGTTGATGTTTCCCATAATGCACATCCGTGAACGCAGTATGGAGCAGATACGAGGCTTTTAGATCTAATTAACGTGTCAATGTCCAACATCTTACCTTCGCATATCCTACTCACTCACGGTTTTAGATTGTGAATAGATTTCATAAGTGTTAGTTCATTTGTTTATGCTTTGTAATTTCAATTAACCAAGCTGGTGTGATAGTAAAGTTCATACCTAACGCTTAGCTTACCGATATTTCATGGAATGTATACATGAATAGTGATTTAAAATACTCCATCCCTCTTTTTACCATAGATACAGTCAATAAGAATAAGGAAACATATATCATTGAAAATTTGTCCAGTATTTCATTTATTTAATTACAATAAATAAGTTTGATGTGTCTATCTTACGTCAAAAAAGGTAGACTTATCAGTGATTGAAGTGATCATTAAAACAGAGACTGTATCTCACGTTTCTACTTTTCATCGAATGAGGTTTGCTGCTTACTATCTCATGTGAGACAAAATTTGTGAAATAATAGATTCAGTTATTAGTAAATAAGGTAAATTATAAACTTGAATAAAAAATCTTTATTAAATAATGGAATCTAATAAATACAAACTAACTAAGGATAGCATTCCCGTTTTGTTAAAATAATTTTAAGTGCCCAGTAGGCATTTGAGACCATGCATTGGTACAAGTAGTTTTATTGCCTTATCCGAAAAACGCTTTGAAAAAAAGTTAATGAACTGAAATTTTGCATAATGCTTCATCTAAATCGAAGCAATCTCGTGTGATTTTGTGTTCAGTTTCAAAATAATCATTCCACGGATTCATTTTCATAATCATCTTATTGTATATTCCTTTTTATTACCGCGTCTACCAATGCTACTCTTGTTCTCATTCCTATTAGATAGTCTCTTCGTGATGATGCATATTTTTACCAAGTTCTAAGTTGCAAATGACTAACTAACTCTGATCAGTTCTAGTTTTCGTTATCTTGTTGAACATGGGTTTTTTTCAATGATAATTACATGTGGTTACTTTGTACGAATGATACCAAAACAGGACAAGATATAAATATCGACACATATATTAGTTAAATATTTAAATATAACTGTTTTTGTTCATTATGGCCAATTTATGATTGATGAACAAAAGATATCGAAACAATACTCATTATTTGTGTTTCTAATGTGAAATCACATTCTGCTGAGAGATAACAACCATTGAGAACTAGTTTGTAAAAAATTGTTTCAATGCAGATTGATAAATAGTTTATCCATTTTAATGATAACAATTGATTCATTTATTTAAAATAACAAGTTTAGGATTTGTTATTTGCCAAAAACATAACAATGAATTGGTTCGTGTAGATTGTTGATTAAAAAAATAAGTATTGAAACAGTCGACATTTCGTCATTTATTGCCATATATATCATTGTGAACATGATCGCTGTAAAAACACTAGAGCTCCCTATTTCTCAGTCACGATGTTGTGATTCGATTGTTTTGAACTAAAAGCGGTGCTCAGACAGTATATTAGGATCCAGATGAGTATAATAACGGTAATTGGGGTTTCATTTTCTGTCAAGACATTCTTCATCAAGTCACTGACAAGAAACACTACTGCCGTCGAAGTCAGAAAGTGTTATTTATACTCAAAATCTTTATCGTTCGACTCACAGCAGTAGGATTTTGTTATTATAAACAAAGGTGGAAAACTAGGGATCATCTTTGTCACTTCCAGAGGTTCTGTTTAGGGATTATGCGTTTTGTTGATTATATTTCCTGTATAATCATTGCATATAAATATTTTCTTTCACTGGTCAACACGGGTTTAATTGAACTGTTTAAACAAAGATGCATTTTTTCCAACTTATTAGCACGATTAACACCGACTAACTTGTAACTGTTCACTTTAATAAATTTAAAACTGAATGAATGACTATTTTTTTTCAGTCAATTTTGTAAATGGTA